CATATTATATAATTTTTTGTTTAATTATTTAACTCCTTTGAAATCGCGCTAACGGTAATTCCTAAAGCACCTTTCTCAGCATCAAATGCACTACTGAACGGTACCAAACATTTTTCGCCGTTATGCAYGGATCTTGTCAATTCAAGTTTTACCGGCAAAATGATGCACAAATGCAATTAAGTTATATGTGAGTGAGCAAGTGTGTGTGACATAAAAATAGTAAGAAAAAATCTAAACTCATAAATCAAATTCAAAATGCCTCCAAGTGTCGCACAACTATCATATGTATGTATGTTTGAAAATAGATTTGCCAACAGCCGCCAGCCGCTTCTTCAACGGGCCACCCACGCGATATCCGATAGCAAGCGGCATTTTCGCACAACTCAGATTTAAAAAAAAATAATTTTGCAGCTGCACTACTTTGCGTAAATTTATTTATTATTAGAGTGGTAAAAATAATGCAAAATTGTTTTTGAACAAAAAACCATGACAAAAAATTAAAAAAAAAAAATCATAAAAAAATTTGTATTATAATACAAATTACCATTTAATACTTTTTGCCTTTTCAATATTGCCCCAGCGCGTTTTATATTTTTGTATATTTTTATTTATTATTATTATTTTTTTTTTTCATTTTTACACTCAAAACTATTTAATTACATTTCTAGTATTTGCTGTCTTCACGTTGTTGAGATCAATTGCACAGTCAATGCTTTGCACTATCTTTGCTTTTATGCCTTCTAGTATTTCCAAAAAAAAAAAAAAAAAATTATTTTTGTGCTTCGTATGAAACGCGTTCTGCCGTCGCGTTCTACGGTCGTTATGTCTCGAAATATCTGCGTTAACTGAAATCTCTTTGCAGCCGCACAGTTTGCCGTTGCTSCGAACCTTGCGAGGAAGAAGCTACGGTACAACGCTCGCAATGCGGAACCGATAACTAGGCAAGTACAAGTACTATTTGCAAACACATACACACACACACATACTCAATTATTGCTAGGCGTGAGCAAAAGTTGACAACACCCGTCCCCCCAAAAGCTACTGCGAGGGCTGGCGTGAGTTACTGTTTGATATTTGGCGCACTCTCGCTAAATTTGCGCCCAACTGCGAGWGGCGTGAACTCAATGCAGGCGAGTGGTGAGCAATACTAGCGCTGCTCACCTAGCAGCTTTCTCAATTAAGTGAGATCGCTCCACTTTTGGAGCACAGTTCTCAGTTGCTCTTCATGCCGCTCATAGAGTGGGATTATGTGTGTGCTTTTTTTATTTAACTCTTTTTGTTGTTTTTGCAAATGTCTAATTTGTTTTCAAAATTTGTATTGTTTATTGTTGTACTATATGTTTTTTACGCTTTTGTTAGTTTTTCAAATGCCGGAACAGAAGCTGGCAAGTGCACGGCGAAGCTTTACTCAGCGGCTGGCTACACTTGGCTGCCTGAAGGTTTCACATACAAACATACGAACATTTTGAAAGAAAATTAAGTTCTATAATGCCAGCGGTTAGCGAAAAATCTGAGCAATTCATTTAGTTTTCATTTTTACTTTAATTTGTATTTGTTTTTGCTTTTATTCATGCCGTTGGTCGTCTTTAGCGGTGGAGCTGACGCGGCCAACAGCGTGTGGTGGACTTTTATTATTATTTGTTGTAATTTCTAGTTGTCGCTTGACGTAGTTTGACATACATATTTATATGCAAATACATTTGTATGTATATAGCTATGTATTCTAAGTTGAAACGGCTGCGCTGTTGGGCAGCTGTTTTTAGTGGGCAGCGCATCTAATTTCGTGTGCGAGAATCATACGAATAAGGCTGGCAAATATTTGTCTCCAACTCGTGAATATGAATGTATGTATGTATGTATGTGCTGGGATAACTATTGGCATATTCTCAGGTACAATTTGAACACACTTTTTTGTGTATGAAAATATTTTACAAATTGGTCTGAGTTTGATATTTTGAAAAATCGCCCGAGAGGCAAGTGCTTCTTAGACAAGTTGACGCATATACTTATAAAATATATATGGTACTTAAAAAATTACTGAAGGTTACATAAATTTTATGGGGCATGAATTTTTGTTACCAATAATTTTTGGTGATTTACGATTTGTCTGTGCTTGGCCCACTTTTTAGCATGCGGTATAAATAATGGGTATTAGCCCTTTTAATATAATATTTTTATCTTGAACAGGGTTCCTCAGTTTTTGAGATATTAAATAGAAATTTTCCACCCCTCGTTTTCTCTTCAAGTAGCAACTTATATGCCGGAACTGTCGATAGCGGACCCATATGAGACATAGCTGTCATATAAACTGCTCGATCTATGTCAAGTCCATGTATGGAAAACTTTTTATTTGACAAGATATCATCATGAAAATCGTTATAGATTATTGCCTCGGTTATAATGCTTGAATGTTCTACAAAAAAATACGGAATGTGGATGTGAAAAGACTAAAAGAAGGTTTCAAGAACGGATCATACTCTTGTAGAACCCCCAGAAGTGATCTAGGGACTGACGACCAAAGCCTACTGAAATTATGAAGGTTACACTTTTCCAGCCTGCAGTAAAAACATAACACCAGGAGATGGTAAACGCGGTTACCCAATCGATGACGATGGAGCGAACTTTCTACTGCTCGACCATGAAAAAGGTCGAATAGCAATTCCTGAAAAACAACAAAGGGAAGGGGTCGATGGATTGCCGGCTGAGATATTCAAACACGCCGGCGAAGAACTGATAGAGAGCACACATCTGGTTCTTTGTCGAATATAGTCGGAAGAAAACCTCCCCGCTTAATAAACAAAAAACCCCACAATCTGCGTCAACATCGCATGTAAGGCTCTTTCAAGCGTATTGTTTGAAAGGATAAAACACACCGTTAACAAACTGATTGGACTTATTAGTGTGGCGATTTTTCTGGAAAATCAATAACTGACTAAATATTGACCCTGCACCAAATTTTGGAAAAGATGGAAAGTGAAAAGAGAATTGACACACATCACCTCTTCGTCGATTTCAAAACTACTTTGGACCGCGAAAAGGCGCTGCTTTTATGGCGCTTTGCTTGAATGGATTCTCCGCAAAACTAATAAAGCTGTGTAAACTGACGTGAAACAATACGAAAAGCTAAGTCAGGATTGGAAAAGACCTCTTAGAGTCGTTCGATACCAAACGAGGTTTTAGACAAGGCGACTCCGTTTCGTGGGACCTCTCCTGCTATAATTAATTATTCGAGCTGCAGATCTGAATAGAGAGGGTGTACAGCTTTCGAGCTGCAGATCTGAATAGAGAAGGTGTACAGCCTTCGCAATTTGATATAACAGTTAAAAAACAGAAAACTCTTTTGCAAAAATTATTTTCAAAATACTTTAAACTCTAGAAAGCACAATGGTTCATGTGTAAACACCCTGTTTTGGTCTATTTGTGGCAACTACATCATCAACATTGTAATTTCTCTGCTTTAATGGCACTTTCTAGCCTTGTGACAAATTGATTTAAAAATACGTTTAATACCAAATACCACACGTAAGCGGGTTGGTGCGTATAATGTCGTGCCTCAAAACACTTTCCGAAATTTGTAGAAATTTTTCAGCGATCACTTTGCGGTATTTCCCACAGTATTGAACTGCCAAGCCATGACACACAGTTGTTGCTGCTAATTCATTTAAATTATTGTCATGATTTTGGCGGCTTTCCCGCCACGCAACGCGCACTGCCTGCCTGCCGTCATCAAAACAAAAGCAAGGCGGCCGATCTTGGCACCTTCGCCTTCGAAGTGGCCCACCGGTGGCAGCTATTTGACAACTGCTTGCATTTAATGTGCTTTTATTTATTTTTATTATCTGCGTCATTTTTATTTAATTGCTTTAAGTAAAGCAATTATATGGTTGTTGTTGCTAGCAATTTGCAAGCGTGTTTACCTTATTTTTAATGTACACACTTGCATACAAAGTTTATTTGCTTCGAGATTAAGGCATATAAAATGGGTCGCTGTGGACTTGGACCGCATTTTTATGCACATATTTACACATATACAGATTTACATACATATATATGTACATAAGTAAAGTGTAATTATTTATATGCCAGGTTAAGCACAAAAGTCAAGTAAATTGACTTTGTACGATAAATATCTACTACGCATAGTACCTTTATGGCATTGAGCACCGTTGAGTGAGGTATAAATTTATTACCAACAAAAATTCTTGATTTCGTACTCGAGATGTATTTTTATACAAATGAAAGATGATTCTTTGTTGATTGTTTCAAAAATTTACACTCAAAAGCAAGAACAAAGTTATTGAGTCAAGTTCAATACAAGGAAGCATGTGGCACACATAATTTAAGTGGGATGAGCGCTTGCTTTTCTGTATCTATTGGATTATACTAAGTCTATGGTATACGATATACCTTGTTCCAAGAATCTGATATATAGATAATAATTGAAGTTTGCAGCGCGATCAGAGGTCTACGCAAGGGAGAATATGTGAACTATTCGCTCTAGTGAAAGCGGTAGAGAAGTTTGAGTAGGTTTACGAAACAAAAACATGAAGATGTCTATGGGGTTTGGATCAATCGAAAACATGACAATGTCTATGGGCACTGGATAGACCAATAGATTATTTTTTATACCTTAGTTTATATTTCCATTTATGAAGTGGAAACATTGGTCTTGTCTGGGTTTTTAATATTTGAAAGTGGTTTCTTTTACAATAATTAAATATTTTCGAAGGATTTTATAAAATTTTTCACAAGTTTCGAGCCTAATATTATCGGCGGAGGAAACAAAATGGCCATTTGGTCGTCGAGAGGTCGACTTTTTCTAGAAGGAAGCTTTCAGCGTGGAGTTTGTGGTTCTTATAAAATGGAAAAAATCCGTGTTTTGTGCTTTTTTGAAAATTTTTTTTGCTTTTTTTGTGATTTATAAATAAAAAAATACTGTGCATTTAAAGACATTAAACGACTGCGGTTAATTTTGAAAATTTTTGGATTTCCTAACCTTTAAGAGAACCTCCGAAAAAAGGTGTCTAATGCTGAGCAGGATTTTTCTACTTCAAATTATTTCACATTCAAAAACAAAAAAAATATTATTGCTATAGATTAATGCAGATAAGGATCGAAAAAATACTAGTCAAAAGTTTGATTTTTGACGAAATGGCAGATTATCGAAAATATTTGTTTTTAGAGATAAAATTTACGCTCACATAGTAAGTGTTTTCTGAGCAAATTTCCGTATATTTTTTAATACCAACAGAAAAAAGAGAGCAATTATAAGATATACCCAAATTTAAAAACAAAAAATCGGAAATTTTAACTCGAGATTTTTTGACTGAAAAGTAGGATCTTTTGCGACATTAGGTCAATATATCTGAGATCAAATTGAAAGCTGAATTTTTAATTTATACTTTAAGTGTTTTTCGAATTGGAATTTTTTTTTCTGTAGGTTGGTGTATTGTTAGTGACATCTATGCTAAATTTCACGTCAAATATGTATTAGTATTTGAGAAATGCGTCGCTTTGTGAGGCTTTAAAAGTGAATTCTTCGATTTTTACTTAGCCTGAATTTATTGAACAAAGAAATGCGATAATGCACCATCTCATACTGCATTGGTTATTAGTGATCATTTTGCCACACTTTCAACTAATATCATGCGGCAACCACCGCATTCGTCTGTTTTACCTTTGTGTAACTTCTGACTATTCACCAAACTCAAAAGACCACTCCGAGGACACCGTTTTGACTCAATTGAGGATATAAAAGCTGAATCGAAGAAGGCTTTGATGGCCATCACAACGCAGTATTTTTCCGAGGAACATGCGTCGGCATAAGTGTATTGTAGCGGGAGGGGATTACTTTGAAGTAGATGAAATGGACAAAATTCACCTTTCAATTTGATCACAGTGGTAAGTAGAAAAATTAAA